TTGTTCTGCAGCAATTCATTAATGCTCTGCCGTGGTTCCGGAGCCAGGGTAGTGGTATATGGGTGTGAAAAGATAAATCTGGCGTAAGGGGCTCCGACGGCGGAAATATGTACTGTGCGAGAAGCCGTAAGGCCTTTAAATATGCATTATCTGGAGTGAATTTATGTTTTCATCTGTAGTTTGTTGCGGAGTCAGGGCCTACCTCAGCACATAGTTCGTGTAGCCTTATGCTTACGGTGCAAATAATCTCATTCAGGATATAACCCAGGTCTATCGCCATCTTTACATTGCCCATTCGATTTAAAGATATCCGCCTCAACTATTGGCTTACCATGTTAGCTCATAAGCGAACAACGAAATTGTTCGCATGAACGATTGACAGACACACCTTTTGCCTAATAATTGAGGGAATCCCATTAAAATCATAGGGAGGGAGGATATAGTACCTAAGGGGAAAGAAAATTGCCGAAAAAGTCAAGGGAGACTGGATTGGTCATATGTGACCCATTAGCGCTTTCTTAGGTCAGCGCCAAAACTATTGTTCCGGGTAAGGCCGTTCTTACAGCGGCGTCCCCACTCTTTATCTAACGCCTCCAGCCTACGTCGCGCTAAAAGTGCATGTTACGCGATGGGCGAACGTAGGACGGTCCTGTTATCGATTATCCGTCTGCCTACGCTTGCTAAGTTGTATGGCATAGCGTGAAAGTCGGCGTCCAAGTCTAAGGATCAGCCAACCCAAAAACTAGGCTGATGGCGTGGGTTGGTGCAGCGTCAGTTGTCAGTACTGCAAGTCACGATTTCTAGTCAGGCCGTCAAGGTCTAAAGTTCGAATGTCACATAGAGCTGAGCAGTCACATGCGAAAGGAGGCAATAATCTAACTAACCTTACAGTGGGAGGTGCTTTTGAGAGCACACACTATGCAATCTTGGCGTGACCACAGGTGGAGTAAGTGCTGGTGACGAGGAATAAATGGTGCAATGTAGCCAGCAAAAGTAAACCACAAGTGGAGGCGGATTTGGCCTAATAGGCCCATACGATGGGTAAATGCGCGTCGAAAGTGAAGAGGACTGCACCAATTGAATGTCGGGGTCCATAGCACTGGTTCGCCAATCTCTGTCCGATGAATTCGCATGTGACCGACAAGACCGATGCGTGACGAGCATGTGCGGTGGCAGCGAGGGCAAGAATAATCAGAGAGTGTTAAGATTACGGAACTAGGGGGCTGTTATTGATGGTGGTAGTGAAGCTAGTGGTGGTCACACCGGTTGAAGCTACTATCTGCACTGCTATTACTATTCCTTATATACTTACGATATCTGCGGTAGTACAATAACTATTTCTACGACTCTTCCGGCTTCTTCTACGGCTAGGATAACAAGTACTG